TATGTCTTGTAATGTAATGTGATTCTTATTGCTAATATGAGCATCAAGTAGCCGATTTACACCTTCATCCTGAGCCGTTATGTGAGGCTCTACTCCAAATTTCAGACCACTAATTAGACAAAATACTTTTGCAGTGAACTGCACCACATTGGACCCTATTGCATAGCTAAGCCCGTGTATGTCCTTCACACCAAGTCCAGCCACGCGCCGAAGGGCCAGACCATGCACCATTTGACCACTAAATGAAATTTTATCCAGCTCCATCAAGTGCCCAAAGCAGGTCTCTCTAAATCTTCTCATTTGTTCATTACTAAACTTCAACACAAAATTACTGAGTACTGTACTCGGCACACATAGATTATTCACCCTCGCCGAATACACCTCTGATTCAGGAAAACAAAGCTCAAACCCAGATTCCATTTTTGACCTGCAACATACACCATTTACCCAACTTAATATATACTCATATCTATACTACTCACATTACAATAAACACATTATGATACAAAAAGGATTCGTAAATCCATACGAATGACATATAATCAACACATTTAGATACAGACTCTGATACCATTATCCATACACTATAATGAACACATTAAGATACTCATATGATACTGATATCCAAACTACTCACAGTATTATCGTGTTGGTTCTGATACACATCCACACTATTATCGGTGATAAAGGAAGACTGGATTGTTTATGTGGCCAGTTCAAACTTAAGAGTATTCTTTCCATTAAACATAAATGACATTATCCTAGCCATTGTAATAGTTTCCTACTGCATCTTTCTAAAAAATATACTCATATGATACCCAAATACATATTATTCACACTGTTATCAAGACATTCAGATACACAATCGGATACCTCTTTCTTAAAAAAAAGATACAGAACAAGGGATACCCTCTTAAGATACCCAGATTACCCACTAATTAGTGTGAAGATACACAATCGGATACCCTCTTAAGATACCCAGATTACCCACTTATTTGCAAGATACAAAACAGACACCCATATCCATACTACACACGTTATTATCAGCACATTCAGATGCAGAATCTAACACCGATAGAAATTCAATATGTCTTGTCAGATCACCCATATTCAAGACTAAAAGATAATCACTTAGCATTGACCCCTATGAAATAATCACCTAAATCATTCAAAATGAAATTTTTTGTCTTTGTTTTCAATACAACCAAAAACAATTAAATACTAAAGATATCATCATTAGCAACATCAGAATCATCCTTACTTTCATCCTAATCAAATTGGGGCAGCAACGTGAATGGCTATCTTTCAAGTTTCTCTAT